TTCTCCTACAAAGGCCTAACAAACTAATCCTAACGGAAAAAATTATCATTTCAAAATTAAAAGTCATATGAGAATCCTTTTTTGCACAATATATTTTTACAATAACTTCCGTAACAAAAAAAAAAGACCCCCTTAATCTTCTAGTCATACAACCATAATTGATTCTTCAATACTATGTAATTTTTTAAGAATATCTTTCATTACCCTCAAATAACTCAATTATATGGCCCATAAATTTGATTTTTCTCTAATTGCCACAAGTTTGAACATCCTTGCTCTTAAATAATAGTGCCAAATACTTCTTTAATTATCTGGCATTCATTTAGTCCTTAAGACTTTTTATATTTGCTACATAAATTACTTCAATATCACCTGTAACTCTTTGAATCTCAATAGTTCTAAATTTGTGCCTATGCAACATCTTCACTTCAAAGATAACTTAACACACCTTTTATTCCATGATTTAATTCATCAGCTTTCTAAAATATTTTTATTAAACTCTATTTCAAAATTTTTCAAACTAATATTTCCATCTATACTTATGTTGTATGTATATCTTCTTTATCATACCTTAGCTTTCTAAAATCTCTTTTTATCATTCTCAGGTACCTAAACTGCATTGCAAATCAATAATATAGATATTCTTTATTTATTACCCTTAATGCAAAAGTTCTAGCTTCCTTGCAATCATTTCACATGTCAATATAATGAGTTTAGCGATTTTAAAAGCTCAGCTTTCCTTAATGCCTTTTGCCACTGCTCATTATTCTGCCAACATTTCCTTGTGTATGTGTCAGCGGCACAATATCTACAATCTTTTTTAAGAGTTCCTAAAATTTCTATGATAAATGTATTAGCGCAATTAATCATTCTCCAACATTAAACTTGATTAAATTTAAGGTTCTATCTTTTCTTTTTAAACATGCAAAACATAGTAGAAATAACTGGTGCTCGTGAAGTCTGGTTTAATGGGGTTATACCGCTACTACAAATGTTTCTTTTCAAAAACTATAATAGAACATTTTTTGTGTGCAGAAAACTTAAATAAGAAATTTATAAACCATCAGTGCACCCATTGCACAAATTCACAATTATGTAAAAAATCGTTCACACCACACTGCACAACACATATTATAGAAAATAAAAAGGAAAATGGTTGAAGCACCAGTTATGCGTCTACTCGACTTTTCAAAAGTTTTTGAAGTAACCTGCGACGCATCTGGCATAGGAATAGGAGTATTATCCCAAGAAGGACACCCGGTTGCCTACTTCAGTGAGAAATTAAATGACATCAGGCAACGATACTCCACCTACGATAAGGAATTCTACGCCATAATTCAATCCCTCAGGTATTGGAGACATTACCTGCTTCCCCAAGAATTTGTTATCTTCTCTGACCACGAAGCTTTACGATATATCAATTCACAGAAGAAACTGAATGCCCGGCACGGAAGATGGGTTGAATTCCTACAAGAATACACTTACACCATTAGGCACAAAGCAGGTTCTGAAAACAAGGCTGCCGATGCACTGAGTCGTAGAATGATGGTTACGCGTGAGATGAGAACAGGAGTGATTGGTTTCGAGCAAATTAAAGAAAACTATTCTGACTGCCCCGATTTTGGAGAAACCTACTCTAAACTAACAATTGGAGACGAGCGTATCATAGGAGATTTTATACTGGAAGATGGGTACCTGTTTAAGGCTCAAAAACTTTGCATTCCCACAACTTCACTTCGAGAATTTCTTGTGTGGGAATTGCATGCTGGAGGTTTAGCGGGTCACTTTGGCCAAGCCAAGACCATTGCAGCGGTTGAGAATCGTTGTTACTGGCCAAGTCTTAAGAAGGACGTTAGCAGATTAGTAAGGAGGTGTCACACCTGTCAGCTGGCCAAACAACGGAAACAAAACATCGGCCTTTACACACCCCTCCCCGTGCCTAACCAACCTTGGCAAGACATCAGCATGGACTTTGTTTTAGGGCTACCCAAGACCGTTAGGAAACATGACTCAGTCTATGTAGTTGTCGATAGGTTTTCTAAGATGGCTCATTTTCTCCCTTGCTCCAAGACTTTCGACGCCTCTAGAGTAGCCAAACTGTACTTTGATGAAATTGTGAGACTTCACGGGCTGCCTAAAACCATAGTTTCGGACCGAGATGTGAAATTTACCAGTTATTTTTGGAAGACCTTATGGCATAAGATGAATCCACTTATCCATGTGGGTGACGTCTCGTGACTGTCCGATCTGCGCCATTCAAATCAAGCGGCTTAGATCGCGTTGGACCAAAGAATCAAACGTGGGATCGGATTCGCGGTTTGATCAAGCCGCGGAATGACAGGATCAGAGCTATCAATCCGTAGATCAACGGCCAGGATCTTGCCCAATTCAAATAGACTAAATCGAAACCCTAGAATATTGTTTTGGCGATTTCTCTCAATCTACTCAACCAAATGCGATGAAATTTTAAACCTAGGCTCTACACATGAAGAGCATTCATGGGGAAGTGTTTGTTTGGCTTAAAAGCAGCTTTTCAAAAAGCTATTTTACCCTATGTGTTGTGACCTATTCTAAGGGTTTTTGAGAGATCTAACCGTCGGATTTTCGCGTTCTTGGGCTTGTTAGACTTGTGGAAGCTGCAGGAGTATTTCTCTAGTTGACTTCGAGCTCTGAATCTTCCTCGATCAAACGAAAATCAGCCTGGAACGTGAAAACACCTCGGGTTCGCTGGGATCTCGCCGGCGACGGGCTTGGCCGGCGGGATTTTTGGTCGGGAAAGGTAGGGGATGGCCGTGGGAACTCTCACACCAAATCTCAAGGCTTGAGGAGGTCTGGAGCGAGAGTAATTACAAAAAGATCCAAAATAGGGCTTAATTTTTAGTATTTAAGGAGTCTCAACCTATCCTCAACGGTTGGGATCAAATCAGAAGCTTAATGGGAGGGAAACCAGGCTATTTAGATCGTGGTTTGAATTTCAAAACGTTTTGGAGGCTTTAATTACATTAATGGGCTCTTAATTCTCCCTAAATAGATGTTTATGACCTATTTAAAGCCATGGTTGACCAAGTCCACGTTTGACTTGGTCAAACCAGTCAAGGGAGAGGAGTTATTTGGCCATGCAAGGTTTTAAATTGATTTGGATTTGAATTGGGCTCTTAATGGGCCTAATGGGTCAATTTTGACCCATTAAGACTTGGGTTGACTTGGTCAACTCAGTCCACCATGCCCATGTTTGGGCAAAATCTAGGTCAACAGACTTGAGTGGAGATTTGAATTTTAGGGCTTACATATACCTTGAATAATTTTGTGCATCTTTGACACATTTTCTCCTACAAAGGCCTAACAAACTAATCCTCACGGAAAAAGATTATCATTTCAAAATTAAAAGTCATATGAGAATCCTTTCTTGCACAATATATTTTTACAATAACTTCCCTAATAAAAAAAGACCCCCATAATCTTCTAGTCATACAACCCTAATTGATTCTTCAATACTATGTAATTTTTTAAGAATATCTTTCATTACCCTCAAATAACTCAATTATATGGCCCATAAATTTGATTTTTCTCTAATTGCCACAAGTTTGAACATCCTTGCTCTTAAATAATGGTGCCAAATATTTCTTTAATTATCTGGCATTCATTTAGTCTTTAAGACTTTCTATATTTGCTACATCAATTACTTCAATATCACCTGTAACTCTTTGAATCTCAATAGTTCTAAAATTGTGCCTATGCAACATCTTCACTTCAAAGATAACTTAACACACCTTTTATTCCATGATTTAATTCATCAGCTTTCTAAAATATTTTTATTAAACTCTATTTCAAAATTTTTCAAACTAATATTTCCATCTATACTTATGTTGTATGTATATCTTCTTTATCATACCTTAGCTTTCTAAGATCTCTTTTTATCATTCTCCGTTACCTAAACTACATTGCAAATCAATAATATAGATATTCTTTATTTATTACCCTTAATGCAAAACTTCTAGCTTCCTTGCAAACATTTCACATGTCAATATAATGAGTTTAGCGATTTTAAAAGCTCAGCTTTCCTTAATGTCTTTTGCCACTGCTCATTCTGCCACCATTTCCTTGTGTATGTGTCAGTGGCACAATATCTACAATCTTTTTTAAGAGTTCCTAAAATTTCTATGATAAATGTATTAGCGCAATTAATCATTCTCCAACATTAAACTCGATTAAATTTAAGGTTCTATCTTTTCTTTTTAAACATGCTAACATAGTAGAAATAACTGGTGCTCGTGAAGTCTAGTTTAATGGGATATACGGCGATTACAAATGTTTCTTTTCAAAAACTATGATAGAACAGAATTTGTGTGCACCCATTGCACAAATTCACAATTATGTGAAAAATCGTTCACGCCACACTGCACAACACATATTATAGAAAGAAGCAACACGCAAATTATTCCTTGCACATCTGATGTTTGATTCTCACATCTGTAAGAAGGCAGAGAGTGTTTGATTTCTATAATGAAGAATGACAGGTACTAACTAGATGTCCAGAAACTCATACGCCCTAAGTTTTTCTGTCTGAAGCAATCTGATCCTGGAGGTACTCTCTAGTGGGGCACTTAAATTATTTTGTTACTAGTGCATGCAAGTAACTGGTTAATGAATTTTTTGGCAAGTCAAATTACCCTACAAGGTTGGGATACCTATCTTGGGAAGAAACAAATTCCCACAAATATCAAATATGGTCTTTCTTTACAACAAAAAACTTTTAATGCCAATAGACTTAGGTCTAATTAGAAAAATCAGAATAAAACCGACTCCCAAACTTCAATTTGGAAGAGTTGAAACCAGAAAAAAATGAACCTAATTGAACTAAGGGTGCAACCTTCTTCTATAACATAACCAGATAATTCAGACCTCTAGAAACATTAATTTTGAATAGTGTTCTAAAATAATATATATTTAACAATGTATAGCAATTTATTGGAATTCCATATTCCGGAAGCAATACATACCTTCTCTCCTACTTTTTCCTGATGCTGCTTCACTTTTTCACGCAATTTTTTTAAACCCATGTTCACTCTCAATCTCTTTTCCTGCAAACCCATAACCAAATGGTAGAAGTTCATGCCTCAGCAAGTTACCAGAAAACATAAGAAACTCAAATGATACAGAGAAAAGTGATACTGGACAAATTTTCACTAAAAATCAAATATCACAGGCACCAAAAGAAACACTATTAGAGAGACATGCCTTCACATAGCTGACACCGAGTTCCTTCCTACTATAACCACGAGCCAAGTTCCGCATCACATACTGGTTGTAATCTTTAAGAATCCTCATTATAATATCAGATGTAGATATCCCATCTGTGCGCTTTGTCTCCTTAAATTTTCCAATAGACTTGACCTGAATCCAGGGTTAAATGGTTAAATTTAAAAATTAGAATAAGTGGTATCAACAAGCTCTGCTGGCAAAAATATGCTTGTAATAGAAATGAGCAACATGTTATCCAAGCAGCAAAAGTCACAAAGTTGAACGCACAAATTCATAAACATCCTTTCCAGCTCCACTGGCATCAGCATATCTACAGTAAAATATGGCACGTGATAAGAACTGAAAGAATAAATTGAATAAAGAAATATTAAATGTATGAAAATAATTGTTTAGTGAGGAGAAACAATTATAAACTAATGTATCCTCTTCATAAATAAAAGAGTTCCAGAAAATGAAATCAATATTGGGCATTGAATTCAAATTAAATACTCTTGCTGTAAATTGAAAAACTAACGGTAGAGAATCATGAGCAACATAATCGATCTCGTGCTTGTCAAGGAACTCCCTAGTGATCACCCAAGGAGCATCCGGAATCACCTCATCGACCCACCTAGGTTGAGAAAAATTGCATCATCTTCAGTACTGTGGACACGCAAACATAAAATGGAACAAATATAGCAATTCATTTTAGGAATGAAAAAGGTTTTAAGTCAAGTTTATACGGTTAAGATGCTTTCAGGTGATTTTAACCCTCGCATTTTTAGCAGTGCTACATCCAGGGACATTAGATTGGAAATGTCAGAAATAAAATTACATGAGCAAAGAAGAATAGTTCTATATTCCTCAGAAGGAAATGTAATAAGTTTTCAAGGTCATTCCCTAAACTTTAGAAGTACCTGCAGTGGCGTAGGGACTCATAACGTTCAGATTGAGTCATAACAGTCTTGCCCTTATACCGATAAGTAAGTTCATCATTGCAGCATCCCACAAGAAGGTAACTCTTTGGAAACCTGTAACACGAGAATAATCAATTATATCTCAAATGCGCCTCCACTTACTACTAAAAGCATCATAAAATTAACAAAAGATGAGAACAACTCATAACAACGAGAAAAAATTAAGAACCAATTATATCGGTTTGATAACCACAGGTTTTGATGGTTTCCACATATTTTCTTAAGTACATATTATCACGTGTATAAAATATCTACTCATTTCATTATATTTTCTTAACTACATATTTTATACAATAGACCTTTTGAATCAAGGGGGTATTTTATTAGTATTATTTTATTTTTATTATTATTATATAATTGTTCTTGTAGGATCCAAACCTTTATAAATGTAAGGTCAGAGAGCCATTTTAAGATTCTCTACCCCAAATGCACAGTTATCTTCTATATATCATGTTGATAATAAATAATAGGGCCTCTCCTCCTAGTCCATCAAGTTCCGCTAAGCTCCATGTCTCTCTCTCTACACCGAAAATGACCTACTAAAAACTAGCCACCTATGGTAAAAATTGGATGCAACATCCTGAAAAAATGTGGTCAGTCTGGACAAATGCAAAGAACCATAAACCAGACATTGCAAGCAGCATAACAAAAAAAAAAAAAAATGCAAAAGCAATCAAGAACTCATATTCAAGAGAGCTCCCATAATTTAGGCAACTCTCTCTCTCCCTCTCCCTCTCTCTTAAAGTTGAACTCAAGGAACTCAACCTAGACTCAATTCATTAGAGCCAGAGCTTCTAAATAGAATGCAACTCACCAAAAAGCTACGACCAAGAGGAGAGCAACTCACCAACCTGATCAAGTATGTGATGTGGACATCAGATCTTGAAAGGTCTTTCAGAGACGTGGTCAACGATCAATGACCATGATCACGTCGATCTACTTTTGAGTCTTCATATGTATTTATTTTATTTATTTGCTTTATGTATTTGTTTAGTAGTTTTTCCTATTTTTCCTTACTTAAGGGCTTTGTCGTATGTATCCTCTAGGGGCAATGTCGTCTTTTATTTCCATTTCATTGTAGGAGGCTATATATAAGCCCCATATGTTTCTTTTGAGATCAATGAATGAATGTTAATGAAATTTTATTTACTCTTATGTTTGTGTGGGAGCTTGAGTGCTTTGGAGAGAAATCCCTAGGAGAGGGAATGCAAATCACCCACCAACCTTGGAAGAGCCCGAATTCGTGGATTTCTTTTTTTTCTCTATCATTTCTTTCCTTCCTCACCTTCTCCCTTGCCGTTGGCTTAGGGTTTCCCAAACCCAAGATTGTCGGCCTCCACTTCAAGCCCAAGCCCCACCGCCGGCCAACACTCCTTCCCCTTCCCACCTAGCCACCAACCATCCAAGGAGGATCATCCCTTGATTGGTTGATTCATGCAATTCCCCTCCCCACCTCCACCTCCCCTTACCCCAAACCCTAACATAACCACCGGCCATAGCAAGCCAAGCCCTAGCCGCCACCTCCAAACCCTAATTCCCTTCCCCCCACATCTCACACTTCATCAATACTTTCCTTTTGCATAACTCCCACTTTGGAGAGCCTTAATCTCAAATTTTCAATCAATTTTGAAATATTTCCTAAAATAGAAATCTATTTTAGAAAAGTCCCTTAAATTAAGCCCAAATCAAATTCAAATTGAATTGGCTTTAATTTCTCTTTCCCGATTAAAGGGTCTTGGTTTGGTAAGCCATAACTCCTCCCCAAGCCCCCCAAAGCCTTGATGCCGCCGGCCCCCCTTGCCCCCACCTCCTTAATGCTTTCCAAGATAAAAACCTCTCACTTGGGAAGAATTAAATGCTTTCCTAGTTTAGATCATATTCACTTTGGAAAGAATTCAAATTTCAAATTCCAATTAAATTGAATTTGAAATCCTTTCCTAAAGAGATTGATTTATTTTTGGAAACTCTCAAATCTGAAATTGATTAGAGATTTCTCTCTAATTCTCTTTCTCCAATTAGCAACCTAAGTTTGGAAGGAATCATGAATTTCCCGATTAACTCCCCATGCATGCCCGGCCCACCCTATCTCTCCTATCTAATTAAAATCCTTCCTTAAATCCTCAAATCTAGCTCTCCCTAACCTATCCCAAATTCAGCTGGCCCCTCCCAACCCGTCACTCACATTTCCTTCTCGTTTTGGAACGTCTGGCTTGCTGTTCCCACATGTCAGCAGGATCAACATGCTGTCCTGAACTATTGGAGGTATGGAACTGCTATCCAAAAGTTCCAAGCATCATCTAGCAGCCGTCCAAGTTTTTTATAAACATTAGAAGTTGCTGTCCAGCATTCCTCAATAACCAAAACTGCTGTGAAGGCTCTCATAGAGACTGTCCAGATTTTCTGGACAGGGTTGGAAGGCTGTCCCGCTACTCGGAGATCACCATGTGCTGCCCGGAAGATTCAGGTTGCTGACCAAAGACGCCAGCCAAGATTAGTTTGTTGTCCACCATCCCGAGATCATCAAATTGCTGTCCTATGGAAACTAGGAGTTGTGAACAGTTGTCCACTACCTTTCAAGCACCCAAACGTCCACACTGGAGCGTCGTATTGCTTCTACTTTGGGTAAACTCTTCCCAACTCTGCTATCTTCACAGTAACTTTTCTATTGTGGTTTTAGTTTGATTTACAATGATCATGATAATTTTCTCCGTTAAAGCCTAGTGAATTAGAGATTTAAGTAAGGGATCCTTGCATATTGACTAATCTTATTGTTAGTATAAGGATTTTTATTGAAAACCTTCCATGTATGCAACGTTATATTATTTGACTATTTTAGGATCTTAACTTCTACGCATGTGATTTGGCCTAAGCTTATTTTATCACCTTATAGTTTTGACTTATCGTTTAACATCAACAAAAGTTTTATTTATTATTGTTCTCTCAATTTAAAATGTGCAAATTTCTTATTCCAATCATTTTTGCATTTGTCCCGCATCAGTATGGTTCTCAGATTCCCTTGGGCACTGTCTCTCTCTATCTCTCTAGCCCCTAGATAGCCACATAAAACCTCACAGAGCCTATGAATATGGCTCAAGCATCACCTACGGGCCAATTTAAAAGCACATCCAAAAAAGTGCGGTGAATATGGACAATAAAAAAACCCAACAACTAGGCATCATAAGTAGCAAATCATCAAAATCGTTCTACAAATACAATTAGGAACTCACATTCAAGGGAGCTCCCTTAATTAAGGGACCTCTCCCCCTTGGACCTAGACACAAAGAACTTGGCCGATGCTCAATTAGTTAGAGCCAAAGTGTCTAAAGAGAACACAACTCACCAAAAAACTACTGCCATAAGAAGAGAAACTCGCAAACCTATATATATAATAAATAAACACGTATAGAAAACAACAAGGAATAAGAAAAAGAAAACAGCCAAAGACTTAGGTAAGAAAAAAAAAAACTCGCAAAAAACTTTCAAACTTTAAGACAACCAACTTTAACTTAGAATTGATATCAACAAAATCAAGCTTTTATCCCACTATGCGGGGTCATAGCCAAAGTTGATGTTAAGAAAATTTATTCCAAAATAAATATTTAGGAGAACAAGTAAAAGCTCAGCTAACCTATGTTCGGGATCAAAGTGATCTCGGCATAGGGTCATATTTAAAAGCTAAGAGGCTATTTATTTCAAAAATGCTCAAAGCCCCCATGTAGACGAACAATATGTACTTAACGTAGCCACCTTTACACTTGACCCCGAGATTTCATCAATGGAGCATCTAACAAACTCGAAAATTTATATAACCTCCAAATTTAACCACTTAATTTTTTGACAAGTGTATATATAGTGAAATTTTATTTTCTCAAATTTGAAATTTCTAAACTAAATCATTCTGAACTTGCATAATTTGCTATGAATTTAATAGGGATATGATGAACTCACCAACCTATGATGCACAGACACGGACACAGCAACACGGACATAACACGACACGAACATGTCAATTATTGAAAATAGAAGACACGGACACGGTTGGACACGGTATTATAATTTTTCTATTTTAAAAATAGTGAATAAAAATTGAATAAGTTTAATATTTAAAATAATTTAAAAATAATAAGTCATTTAACTAGAATTTGCTCTTAAAATGATTAATATTAGGATGTCGAGAGTCGAACGTCGATGCCGTATATCAAGCATCGAAAGGTGAGATAATAATGTTGTCGAGAGTCGGACATCGATGTTATGTAGCAAGTATCGGGAGTGGATGTCAAGAGGACATTTGTCGTCAATGTTGAGAGGGCATTGGTCATCGATGTTAGGACAATGTCAGACAAAAAATGAGTTGTCAAGTTGTGGGCATAGAAATTGCTAGTGTCGAACATCAATATTAAGATCATCTCAGACTTTGATGTTGAGATAATTTTGAAATGTCGATATTATAACGACGTCAGACATTAATGTTGAGATGACATCGACCATTGTAGTGAAACAAAAGTCACGACCAGCCAAAGAGAAATAAAAAATAAAAAATGATAATATTTGATGAATGGGGTATTGAGTGCGTGCGATTGATTTAGTGTTGTGAATATAAAGTAAGAAATTTAATTTTTATATTTAAATAAATATAAATTTTAAATACAAGAAATTATATTTAAAAAATTATAAAATATATAAGAGAAGTGTGTTGGACACGTGTGCCCAATTTGTATTTAATATTTTTAATCAGACACATTTTCAACTTGTTTGACACGTGCCAGAGACGTGTTGGATGCTTGTCGTGTCGGATGTGTGTCGGACAATGCACGCCTCTTCGAAAAAGGTCGGTGCATCATAGTCACCAACATAATTCAAGAAATAATGAGTCCAATGAATATCTCGCTCAACATTTTCGCCTCATTATTTTGGGAGCTCTATTCGGCAAAGCAATCAACATCTATGATATGAAAGGTCCTCACCTCCGTCAAAATGACTGTTCAACTAGGCAACATATTCATTTGGAAACCCTACATAACTATTTGCACTCAAGGAACTAGATCTCTTTGGTC